TTCCTTCCTTCCTTCCTTCCTTCCTTCCTTTTTTACCAGTAACTTTCTGCCTTGAGAGAAGGTCAAAAGATTGACAAGTCCATATGCTGCTGTGGGATTTTTACATGTTCTGTGCTTACCTGATGAGGAACACCCATTTTTTCCTTCTTTCTCTTGTTCTTTCCCACAACATGAATTTGGAAGCTACTTTTCTGCATATTTATTCCTGGAGGTGGGGGTAGCCAGGCTCGCAGTAACCTAAGCCAAACCAGAAGTTTAAAATGGCTGTGTTTTTTTCTTTTTTGTTTTTACTATTATCACAGTGAGGATGGGTATCTCTTTTCTCTTTTGGGTTCTGCTTTATTTTTTTAACTTATTTCCATCTGTTTTAAAAGTTCCATGCAAACTATTTTTCTTTATGTATTTACTTTTTAGTACACTTGTTAGATTGCAAAATGACTCTAACACTGGGAAAATGATCTTGAGATATATTTTGTCTACAAGAAAGTATGGTGCTTAAAATAGTTGGAAAATAAATGGATATACTGTAAATCACAAAAAAGAAAAAAAGGGAAAAAAGGAGTAGGGGTAAATTTGCAACAACAATCTGGAAAAATTACAGCCAGATGTTACTGTGTTGTAAGAAACACCTATTTTCCCTTATGAACAACTTTTTTTGAGACCTAGGAAGATGGGTTGAACAAGCCTATATTCATGGATACTCCAACAAATAATGTGTGGCAGCTTTTACATTTAGCAGCAATCTCAAAATCGATGTGGAAAGTGAACACTGTAACAACGAAGGATGCTTCCTTTTTTTAATAGTTAAGATAGCTACTCTTACTATTGCTCTGATTAACTTTATAACCCCACTACAAACACTTCTGAAATATTTCATAACTGTTTCTCAAAACTATGTTCTGCAAATCCTCAATACATGATCTAGATTGGAGATTTTAATTTAATTCAAGGTTTTCAGTTAGGTGAAAGCTCTTTTAAATTTTTTATTTTTTATCAGAATTGGAAAGTACTGCCAGCATATATATTGGAATTTAAATTAATACATATTCGACATTTTTTTAAAATCCAAAGCTTAGAGACTATGAGATCAAATACAGATCAAAATTGTTTTAAATTAGATTATTTTTTAGTTTCATCTGCTCTGGTAGTTCTTCAATAGGCCTCATTACAATCTATGCCAGAGACTCTAACTATGAACCATTTATAAATCAACTAATTCTAAGTATAGTATAGATATATTTTTCTCCTAAGATATTTTCTATTTGTGGAATATATTAAGAAGGAAATTTGTTCTTTTTTAAAGAATAAATTGGGATTCTACCAGTTCGTAAATTCTCTGGGATGTGTTTAAGGCATCCATCAGGAGATCCATGATTGCTTTTGTCCCAAGCAAAAGAGAGGCTCAGAGGTTCACATTTCATACAACTGTAGAAGATAGTTAAGACATGCATTTATTGTTATATGCTTGAAACCCCATAGATGGATCACATCAAGCATTTGTAGGAGCCAAGCTTAAATTGGAGCTTTGTACTCAGAATTGTTTGAAGACTCTCTGAAATGTTTTAAAAAGAAATGTTGGAAATCAGAAGAAAGAGCTGGAAAATTATTGGCTTATTACCCAAAAGAACAAAAACAACAACATCCTACATCTGGATTTCATATCAATGAAAGACTGAGACAGTCTATTTCATCTGTTGTTGTTGTTGTTGTCATTTTTAATATACAGTTAGATCAAGTAGAGAGTCATGGAAAAGCAAATTATGAGTGTCCTGGAAAAAATGAAATGGAAGAGAATTCTTATGAAGGTAGAAATTGGCACAACCATTGACATTAAAAGAAATCATAGAGCCACTAAAATATATGAAATCAGGAAAAGTCCCTTGATCAGATGGACTCCCAGTTGAATGGAACAAAACTTTTATAGACTTATTGACACCACTATAGCTGGAGGTTATAATCAATCATATATATATATATATATA